GGGAGTGGAACTGAAAGTTTGAGGTTTCTAATCAAGGCTTGGTTTTTCTGGCAACCAGCCCCCATCCTGAAAGCTATCTAGGATCCCAATAAGAGTTGCCTCATTAGAACACAAGAGGCTCCAAGCACCGAGGAAATTACAAACATCTTACAGACTCTTTGCCAGGAACTGAGGACAAGATAAATTTATTTTATCTGTGGTACTGAGGAATGCACTAGGGGCACTACTATCACTGAACTTCACAGCCCTTTTTATTTTTTATTTTGAGACAGGGTCTCATGAAGTTGCCCACGCTGGCCTTGAACTTGGAATCCTCCTGCCTCATCTTCCTGAGTAACTGGGATTTCAGGCATCAGATATTTATTTCTTATTATGCCAGTAATATAAAAATGAACATGGATTAAAGAATTTATTCTACAGTTATGATATGAAGAAACCAGATAGATAGTCTATCTGGTTAAAAGGAAAAATTAAAAACAATAGAAATTCATATGGAGATAGGAATGTTAAGGAGAACTGTAAATAGAGATGAAATTGGTGTTTCCACAGAAGGAAAGTCAGTTACATCACTACCAGACTGTCTAGGATTTACGAACTTATCAGTTACCTGTAGTTTACAAATAGTTGCAAAATGGCTCCAAGCTGATAAAGAAGGGTGGGATTTGAAAACCTGGAAAGCTGTGCTGTGGACAATGCAGAATTTTCCATTGAAACATATTTTTCTGTAGAAACCAGAACCCAACTGAACCTTCACTTGAGTTTTGCTTTCCACTGTGTTTCTCTTTTGCTTTTGGCCTTGAGGTCACATTAATGTCTTTTCAGAGCATGGAGCAGAGGAGGCTCTTATGTGTGTACTTACCCACCATCTTGAGTGGAAATTGCATCTTTAATTAATAATGAAGACATCTGATCTAAAATACAATATAGAGCAGAGCATGGTGGTGCATGCCTGTACTCCTGGTGACTCAGGAGGCTGAGGCAGAAGGACAACAAGTTTGAGACCAGCCTTGGCAACTTAGTGAGACCCTATCTCAAAATAAAACATAGAAAGGGCTGGGAAGATAGTTGATAAAGTGCCCTTGAGTTCAGTTCCCCAGTATAAAATTTATTTATTTATTTATTTATTCCCCAAAATACATAAATAAATAAATTTTAAGAATATGATATAGATCTAGAAGCCAATCAAAATCTTAGTCATTGGCCCCAACATGTGACCGTTACACATCTCTCTACTAATGCCTCTGTCAGCCTAAAATGAATGACAGACCAACTGACTCTCCAAAGCAAAGAGTATTTGGGATTGAAAGGCATGGCAATCCAGGATACACATGCTGTGGCAGACCAAGGGAGCTGGGGCAAAAGTGGCACTCTTTTTAAAGACAAAAAGGAGAAATATGCACAGGCCATTTTGAAACAAAGACCTTTAGTTGCAGGGGCTTGTTGCAAGAATCAGGGTCAGCTCATTGATAGAGACGGCCATTGTCAGGCAAGTGTCCTTGTCAAAGTAGCTCATGTGGGATTCTGCAGTTTCAAGGAGTTCCTTACACAGTTTTCATCATAGGCATATGTGTGTGGCAACCCTTCCTGGCCTCTGGCTCCATTTTGTTTGGAGTTGACATAAATGACTTGGTACTAAAAATTCTCACACCTGTCTTCCTTTACAGTGAAGCTCAAAGAGATTTTTTTCCACATTAATATTTTCCTTTCCACCTTCTTCTAATGATAGCCCTGGCTCACTTTTGCATTGCCAAACGTATTCTCTTCTTTTTCTTACAACCCATATCTTCCTGAGCCCACCTCTGCCTATCAAGGATCACAACCACTGGGGTATCTTGAAGTCGGGATTCCAGCCTGGTTCTGACTGCAAAACCTATGTTCTTTACAAGGACCATCATCAAATACAGAAGGAAGAAATGACATTAAAGTTGGATTTTGAAAGAAAGACAGGATTTTGTTAGGCAGGATTGGACAGAGAGTCACTTTAACAAGTCAATGGATAAGTAGTTCATTTGGCTGGGGCCCAGGTTCCTGCACTAAGTGCCTTTGAGGACACAGACAAAGGTTTGGAGGTAATTGACCCATGATGTACTTGCTGGACTCATAAACTGTACTTGGTACTTAGTACTTTGTTTCATTTTGTCTTTATATCAGCTTTGTAAGACAGACACTATTATTTTCATTGCTAACTGAATCTTTGATTCCCCAAAATTCATATGTGAAACTAGTGGCCTTAGGAGTTGAGACTTTTGGGAGTTGATTGGGTCATGAAGTCATAGCCCTTGTGAATGAGATTAGGGCCCTTATAAAAGAGCCCCAGAGAGTTTCCAAGTGCCTTCCACCATGGGAGGACACAGAAGGCACCATCTGTGAACTGAAAAGAGGCCCTTACCAGACATTGAATCTGCCAGTACCTTGATCTTTGCCTTCCCAACCTCCAGGACAGTGAGAAATAAATTTTTGTTTCACGTGAGCCACCCAGTTTATGACATGCTATGATAAAATAGTAGGCTACATAGACTGAAACACCCATTCAATTCCTTGAGAAAACAGAATCACAAAGAGGTCAAATAACTTATCTGTGACCTCTCAGAAGTTTAGTGGCTGAATTGAGTTTAGAACCTGCCATGTCAATTCTAACATCACAGTTCTTTCTACTTTATGTAAGTAGAAAAAAGGCTAAGGGATTTTAAGTTCAGCTGTGAAATGATTAGAATTTTATTTAGCAAAGATATATGATAAAAGAGAAGCTGAGTCATCTTTGGCTCTGATATCTAGATACCTGCCGCAGTCTGGCTGGGCACAAAATCACAAGCCACCACACACCTTATAGATTCAAACAGCAATTCATTATTCTCGAACTGTCACCGGCACTTTACACACACGTTCTGGGCAAATCCACACACTCCACCGGGCTCTGAATCCCAAATACTCTCTGAATCCCGCGAGAACTCAACGGGAACTAAGGAGCGGGGCGCACCTGAGGCAGCAGGATAAGCCCTATTCCCAGCAGGGTACACCTTAAACCTGGAACCGCCCTAAACCCAAGGAGCGGGATACTCCCTAATCCCAGCAGGATACACCCTAAACCTGGATCCGCCCTGGTCCTTGAGCAAGGTCACCTTACATGCAATGTCACTGCAAATGACCTGGGTCATGCCATGCGTCATACCTACTTGGCAATGGCTCTCAGCAGATACCATTTGAAGGCAGCAGCTGTTGACCAGGCACTACAATCTGGAATTCAAAATTCTAATCCACGCAGAAATTTAGCATAGTGCCCTGAAGGGTGTGGAGGGTCTACCACATCCCAGCTACTCAAAGCGTGGTTCTTACACTTAAAACTTCAGTATAACCTTGGAGCTTATTTTAAAAAATTGCAGATATTCACATCCCTACATCAGACCTATTAGAGGAAAAAAAATCCCTGAGATTGGGGCCTAGGAATCTGTTTCTTTAACAAGACCTCCATGTGATTCTTAAGACATGCAAAATCTTGAGAAAGCCCTGCTATTTTTTCTGGCCACTGTGCCGCCTTTCATCATTTTCTGGTTGTCAGGTAGAGCCTTTTAAAATGACTTCCTCAGTAGTAACCAAGAAACATCACTAGCACAGTAAAAGCTGAGTACTACTGTGATTAGGAAAGAGAGATCATTAGCATCCAAGAACATGATACGCACTGTCTTTAGCATTATTCAGACTCTAGCATAGGATTTAATGCATGTAAAGGTGGTAATGTACAGAAAGAAGTCTGAAAGGATATGTACCAAACCACTAACTAAAAGTGACTACCTCTGGGGAAAAAGCTGTGGGATTGTGGAGAAGTAAAGGGAGGGGCTTTAATTTTATATCACCCCCCTAATGTTTCTGTATTTGACTTTTATACATGCATAATCATTTATATAATTAAACTTTTTTTAATCTCAATAATTAATTCTGATATGTTTTCAAAACATTTCTCTGTTTTATGTGGTTTCACTAAAAGTAAGATTATCACAATATTCATAATCCAAACTTGGAGACTTCTTATGTATATTTATTTATTGGGAGCTGCATCTATTTTAAGAAGTAATCAGCTTTTTTCTTTCTCATCTTGGTAGTGAGTTATAATTTTAGAAATAAAATTCAAATTAACAGTCTTAAATTAATGTGGCAGATGATGTTTTGCTGCAACTAATTGCCTATGATGCATTTAATACTAGAAATATGTATTTGAATGTTTTGTTTGATGTACTAATCAGACTCTTGATTTTGAACATAATGAAACATCATTTGAGTCAGTACCATTATCTTTTTTATTTTTGTTAATAGTGTATATACCCTGTTTTTAGTCAAATTTTTTTTTCTGCTGTGATCAAAAGACTTGAAAAAACAGTTTTAGAGGAGAAAAAGGTTATTTGACAATCATGGTTTCAGAGGTCTCAGTCCATAGATGACCAGCTCTATTGCTCTGGGCCCAAGGTGAGGCAGAACATCGTGGTGGAAGAAGAAAGCAGCTTAGGGCATGGCCACCAGGAAACAGTATATTCTACTCTCCAGAGACAAAAAATGTATCCCAGAGGCACATCCCCAAAGACCAGCCTCCTCCAGCCAAACCTGTCTGCCTACATTTACCACCCAGTTAATCCATATCAGTAGATTAATGTACTGATTTGGTTAAGGCTCTCATAACCCAATTATTTCTCCTCTAAACCTTCTTACATTGTCTCACACATGAGCTTTTTAATTTTTTATTTTGAGACACTGCCTTTTTAAGTTGCTTATGACCTCACTAAGTTGCTTAGGCTGATTTTGAACTTGTGATCCTGCCTCAAGCCTCCTAAGCCTTTGGAATTACAGGCATGTGCACCATACCCAGCTTTCTCAATGAAAGTTTTACCTGGGCATATTTAGGAAATTGAATTTTTTATTGTGCTTATCATATAAGATTAAAATGATTTCCTAATAAAGACACTTATTTCAGCTTTCCAACTTTTTAAAAAAGAAAATAATCTTTCCTACAGGTTTTTTGTGTGAAGATGCATGAAAATCTGAACTCCTACCCACGGTGCCTTTATAGCACAGCAGAGCCACCTGATGGTAAGCTTTCCTCTCACTCTCTGACTCATTAACTGATTTCCATTCCTTCAAATAAAGCGGGAGTGGAGAGGTTTGAGCAAAATGGACTTTTCCTGCACCTGTCCCACTACCACTAGGTTCTGTTCCCATAATGTCTCCAGTGATGTCTTTTGGCAGACCGACACCCCAGCAATCAGGAGTTACAGATGAGTGGGAAAGTTTCTGCTCTTGAAAACTTAACTCTGCCTGTGTAATGTGAAGACATTAAGCAGGTCATTACAGTCCAGTGTGGTACAAGGTACTGCGAGGTGTTACAGAACGGTGGGGCCTGTGTAGACTGTAGGACATTGAAGGTGCTATCCCAGTAAGGCACAACTTTATGGGAATTCAGAGACTTTCTTCCATCTTCCTTTCATTTTTTCTCTCCCCCACTCTACCCAACACCCACACCCACCCACCCCCCAACTGGGGATGGAACTCAGGGTCTCACACTTGCTAAACAAGTGCCTTGCCACTCAGCACCATCCCCAGCCCAAATTCAGACAAATTATATATTTAAGTATTCCCTTTAGAATTCTTTAATTTTAAAGTTCTTTTTAAAAGTCTATTTTATGAATTCCTCTATTTTCATCTTTTTTTTTTTCCTCAACAGAAATTACAGTTCATTATAGACACGGTCTTCCCTTGATAATACTGACTTTGCCATCCAGAAGAGAGCGCTGTCAATTCGTAGTCAGACCGATGTTGTCAACAGTTGGTTCGTTCCTTCAGGACATACAAAATGAAGACAAAGGTGTCAAAACTGCAGCTGTCTTCACAGCAGGTAGATACATGTTTGTTTTGCAACTTTATCCAAAGGCTTCTCTCTATTCTCTGAGACTTTGTTTTGGTTCTTTACTTTTCTAGACAGAATTCCATTATTTAATTCATTATATAATAGGTGGTTAGCCTTTACTGAGTCCTTTATTGTTACATATCCTTACTATTTTAAAATGTAACTTCAGTGAATGTAAAAAAAAAAAACCATGGAATAAGTTTCATGTAAATTTAGGTGCTTCATAAACTTAACCTGAAATTTTTTTCTCTTGAAAAAATTCTAGTAATTTAAATTTTAAATTTTCAGTAAAATTTGAACAATTAGGATGAAATGTAGTTTCAGTGATTAAAATAGCTAGTGAATAAAAATACACAAATAGCATATTTATCTTTATTATAAAGCAATTATAGCCTAGTATTTGTTTTGTTTGGGGGTTTTATTGTTTTTAGGAACTGAGGATTGAACCCAGAGATGCTTTAACGCTTCCCTACATCCTTAGCCTTTTTTTTTTTTTTGAGACAAGGTCTCCCTAAGTTGTTAGCTAGCCTTGAACTTGTGACTCACCTGCTTGTGATCCTCATATCTCAGCCTCCAGGTTGCTGGAATTACAGGCATGCACTGCCACATCCCAGCTCAGCCTAGTTTGTTGTTGTTGTAGATGGAAAGAATACTTTTATTTTATTTACTTATCTTTATGTGGTGCCGAGGATCTAACCCAGTGCTTCACATATTTGAGGTGAGTACTCTACCACTGAGCTACAGCCCTGTAGTATGTTTTTTGATAAAATTCATTCTGAGGGAAAAACTATACATATATATTTTAATACTAGGAGAAGTGATTTGTTATTTAGACTTTTTAAATTTCAGCTGTGGCTGTTACGTTCTCATGGTTTGAAACGATCTTAGACCAGCTGCCTAAAATAAAGAATAATTGCCCCAGTCCAACTTTGAGAGGTACAGATATAAATGAGTTAACTAATCTGCAGCTATTTTATTTTATTTATTTATTTTGGGGTGGCTTACCAGAGCTTTAATTCAGGGGCACTCAACTACTAAGCCACATCCCCAGCCCTATTTTGTGTTTTGTTTAGAGACAGGGTCTTACTGAGTTGCTTAGAGCCTTGCTTTTGCTGAGGCTGGCTTTGAACTCAACACCCTCCTGCCTCAGCCTCATGAGCAGCTGGGATAATAGGCATGCACCACTGCTCCTAGCTTGCAGCTGTTTTATTATAATATTAAATACTTAGTGTAAACTTATTTAAAAATTAGATCACTGTTGCAGTTTAGATAGAAAACAAGAGAGTTAAAAACTCCTGCCCTTTGGAGCTTGCATTTTAGGAGAAGAAAGAAATAACGTAAAGCAATAAATTATATATTATACTAAATAATTGTAATGGAGAGAGAAAAGTAGGGGGTGGGAGTGCAGGAGGGTGGGGGGTCTTATAAGGTCACGTCTGAGTGAAGACTGGCAAATGAGGAGCCTTGCAGATGAGTGGAGAGTTCTGAAGGGGAGACCTTGAGGTAGGAGCAGACTCCTCCTTGGCTCTAAGGAGGGAGCTGGGTGGAAGGAGAAGGGTTGGGAAAGGCTTGTCAGTTGTTGTAAGGACTTTAGATTTAAGTGGATGGGGAGCTTTCTGCCTGCTAAAACATGGATCAGAAAGTAAGTTTTTTAGCCTTGTGGTCACAGTGAACTTCTCAGTACTTCATTCCTATACTAGACAGACCCACTCCCCCAACCACCCAGCCCCAGCCCTGGTGTCCCTGTGCTTTCCCTGCAGGGTAGGCTTGCCTTCCTGAGCTTCCAGGGACAGGCAGATGCACACCTAAAACTCATATGGGGTTGGCTCTGAGCAGCGCTTACCTGGTGATAGGTACTTGATAAGTATTTGTTAAATGAATGAAATGAGAGGTAAAAATAATGAACCATGTTTACCCTGATTTGTTCCAGAAATTAATTTGAATACCTTTGAAAGCAGAGACTTTGAGACTTTTCTCTAAGAGATTGAGGAAAAGGGGGCTCTTTGGATCTAGAGAAAACACATTATTGGAGATTTAAGTGGATAATGCCCAAGAATATATGAAAAATTTGATACTGTCATTAGCTTCTTAAAAATGTTTCTTGTCAATCTTGTGCTGTCTTACGTTTGCATAAAGGATAATGTAGTAACTCATTTGAGAAACCATATTCAGTTGATTTCTTTTTATAGAAATATTTTCAGAAACTGGTTTAAATGTAAAATTTAGATATAAATTTTTAAATGACACTTGGAAAGTCAGATAAAACAATTAGTGTGTTACTTTTTTTTTTTTTTAAGAGACTCTGTGGGTGGAATTTGCTTGTGTTTAATTTGGGCTTGAAAAGAGTGTTCTGAGCCTGTCACAGTTTTGCCCATTGTGTGGGCTGCATTATTTGGCAATTCTTATGAAAATGATCTCACTCCAACTGATGAACAGGAACCCAAACAGCCAAATTCTAGAAACCGACCCAGGTGTAGACTTGACATGCTGCGTTATAGAACAAAAGAACCACAGAGAGTCAGATAGGAGGCAGGCAATCAGGTTCGTCCTGATTTTACTAGCAGCGTTTGTGCTGGTACACATATTAATGTTGCTGAAATAGTTGTGGTTGAATGCAGCCAAGCAAACATCTGGCCAGGATAAAATATCCATCCAGCATTTTCCTGCACTTTATTATATGTAATGTAGTATATGTGGACTGTTCTGTAGGAAAAAAATGGTAGAAAGAGAAGTCTCTACCCAGCACCAGTTTTCTGCTTATTGCTCAATGAATTTGCTTTCTTAACACCTGAGTTGCACTAAAGCTTAGTTTAAAAATAAATAAAATAAAATAAAGATTGGCTATATGAGAAGCTGTGCAAAAGCACATTGAGGTTAAAAATTTCCAAGATTTTTTTTTTCTGAAATGTCCCTAGTGCTAAACTAAAAACTTTTGAGACCAAGAGATTTCTAAAATAAAAGTGTTTATTAAGTTGATGCAGATGCTTTCCAGAAAAAAGGACCAGATTCTAGGACAGATTTCCGTAAGTACCAGCAGTAAAGCTAAGAGAGAGGTTGGAAAAGTGTCTGCTGAGCCTGGAACTAAGAATATTTTTATAATAAAAATTTGGAGAGGAAGTTTAAGTTGTTTAAGTTGAACCAACATTGACTGTAGAAAAGGGAGTAGGATAATATGTGGTAGCTGTAGGTAGTCAACTGTAATAGGATTTAAATCAAGGTTTTAATATATGTTCAAGAATATGAAAATCTTTCATTGGTTTCACCTGCTGCTGTTAACAGCTCCTCCAACCCTAGGAGTGCTCTGAGTCACATCCCCAGCCCTTTTTAGTTTTCATTTTGAGATGCTGTCTTGCTAAACTGCTAAGGCTGGCCTCAAATTTGCCATCCTCCTGTCTCAGCTTCCCAGGTAGCTGGGAATATAGTCAAGAGCCACCACACCCAGTGGTTTTGTCTATTTATCGCATGTGGGAAACAGTGTGGGGAAAACAGACCAAGATTGCCCAGGAGCAAACTGGAGGCTGTACCTCAAGGTGGCCACAGGGAGATCAAGCTGAATCTGTACACACCCATTAGATATTGCCTCTTCTACCTCCCCAGTCCTGCCGAGAGTTCCAACCTCCCCTGAATCTTTGCATGAACTTTGCTGAGACAGTTTCAACCAAGGACATTAACCTGGGCTCCAATCCAACTGGTACAGTGGGAGAAGAGCGCCTGCCTGTTTCTTTTGGTTCTATGAAATGAGAGCTGAAGCAAAGGAGAAGTTCCCTCAGTGACAATAGTGTGAGTTTAGGGGCGTCATCCAAAAGGCAGATGTCCACTACTATATTGTAAAAACCTGAGTGAGTTGTTTTTTGTGTGTTGGGAAATGGTTCTTGTTGTTCTAAAACAAAAACTTATTTTTGCGTTATGCCTTCCCTTTCAGATGGCAATGAGATTCCAGCCTCAACTTTGATGGATGTTTTGCTAATGAAAGATTTTAAGCTAGTCATTAACAAGACAGAATATGATGTACAGTGTCCTCAGAAAGGTAAGAAACACAGTTCTCCAGCTACCTTAACTTTTCCCTTTAGCTTTGACTTTTACAAGGTACTAAGCAGAACTTGTTAAAGACAGAATTCTTGCTAGTGATATAGCTCAGGGTAAAGTGCTTGCCTAACAGGCATGGGCCCCAGGTTCAATCCCCAGGACTGCAAACAAACAAACAAAACCCAGAATTCCCTGAGGTATTCCACAATGGTGACTTTTCTCTTGCCTTAAGCTGGATAGTTTTTCTCTGATGTTTTACTGTGAGAATCTGGTAACGCTCCTACAGGTAAAACTCACAAAAATGTGGGCATGACCTCCAAGACTGGGCCTGTTGAGTTTTTAAATCTCAAAAGAGTTGTTTACACTGAGGCTCCAGAAGTTTTTCAGTTATAGTCAGGTGTTTCTACTCTGGTATCAGTTCTTTGCAGATTTCTGCTCATGGGTTTCTGTTCTCCCATGCTGTGGTTCTCTGTATCTACCTCTCTTCTCAATTTGGGGGACAGTGGTTTGTCTTGCAACCTCAGTTCTCAGTTTTGTGTGAGTGTGTGGCAGGGGGTGCTGGGGATTGAACATAGGAGAACTCTACCAGTGAGCCATATCCCTACCCTTTTTTATTTTTTGAAACAGGGTCTTGTTGAGTTGCTGAAGCTTTGAAGTTGTTATACGCTCTCCTCAGATCTCCAGAATAACTTTAAAATTTAAAAAAAATTTAATTAGTTCTAATCAGTTATACATGATAGTAGAAAGCTCTTCGATTCATTGTACACAAAAGGAGCAGAATTTTTTGCTTCTCTGGTTGTACATGAAGTAGAGTCACACCATTTGTGCAATCATACATTTACCTAGGGTAATGATGTCTGTCTCATTCCACCATCTTTCCTACCCCCTTACCCCTTCCCCCCTCGCCCCATCCAAAGTTCCTCCACTCATCCCTAAACTAGCCCCCCATTATGGATCAGTATCCACTTATCAGAGAGAACATTCAGCCTTTGATTTGGGGGCATTAGCTTACTTAGCTTAGCACGATGTTTTCCAGCTCCATCCATTTACCTGCAAATGCCATAATTTTATTCTCTTTTAATGCTGAGTAATATTCCATTGTGTATATGTACCACAGTTTCTTTATCCATTCATCTACTGAAGTTGCTTTTCCACAGTTTAGCAATTGTGAATTGTGCTTCTATAAACATTGATGTCTGCCTCACTATAGTACGCTGTTTTTAAGTCCTTTGGGTATAAACCAAAAAGTGGGATAGCTGGGTCAAATGGTGTCCAGAGTAACTCTTACAGATCTAAGAAGAGTTGTTGATTTTCATTTGTTTAGATTTTTATTTACTGTTACAATGGAGTGAGGACTCTCAAGCTCCTATAAATGCCAGTTTGGAAACTGGAAGCCTTAATCAGATTTTTCCCCCCTTTGGTATGGATTTTTGAGCCCAGGGGTTCTTTACCACTGAACTGCATCCCATATGTTTTATTTTTTATTTTGAGATAGGATCTGTAAGCAAAATAACCAACACGGTTTTGGCACCATTATGAAAATACAAATAGCCAGGATGGAAAACCTCAAACAGATCAGCAGCTTCCCTTTATTACACAGCAGAGTCAATCAGGTACTAAAAGGGGCTCATTTTCTGGGTACGAAAATGGCCTGCCAGTTACAGAAGGAATCTGAGTTTTATAGTTTACAATGAGAGTGGTTTAATCATTGGCAACTTCAGACATGTTGGTTTGGATAGTCAGGAAAGAAGTTTTAAGAAGTCCAGAACTCATCGTCACTGGGAAAAGCTCAGAACTTTTTTCACTGCTTATCTTCTATTTGCTTTTCTCCTTCCAGGACTCATCTGCAATGGGAAAGGGTAAAAGTCCAGGGCCGTGTTTCAATATCTGCCTCTTCCTTTCAGGAGCCATTGTGACTGGGAAGGGATGAATGTTTGCTTTTGGTGGGGATGCTGAAGATGAACCCAGGAAGGGATGAAAGTTTGCGTTTTCCCTGGGGGGTGAAGATTGTTAGTGGGAAAGGACTTACTGGGCGAGGTTTAATATTTGGCTAATTTCCCTCCCTCCTTCCAAGCCACACTGTCTTTCCGTTTTGCCCCCAGGACTGTTTTATAGGAATATTAATTTTTCATAACCCTTCAGGACCTCCCTAAATTGCTGAGGCTGGCCTTGAATTTATAATCTTCCTGCCTTGGCCTTGTCACTGGGATTAAAGGTGTGTGCCACTGTGCCCAGCTGGAAGTCTTAATTTTTTAAAGAGAGATTTTCTCTTCATTTCTCACAACAGGTTGAACATCTCTAATATGAAAATATGAAACATTCCAAAATGTAAAACTTTGAGGGTTGATATGACATATATTGAAAATTCCACGCTTGACCTCCTGCTAAAGGTTGTAGTCAAAACGCAGGTGCACTAAAAATACCATGTAGGGGCCAGGGGTGTAACTCAGTGGTAGAATCACTTGCCTAGCATGTTAAAGGTCCTGGGTTCAATCCCCAGCACTATTTTAAAAAAAAGAGAGAGAGAGAGTGTGTGTGTGTGTACACACACATATATATGTGTGTACATATATACATGCATGTGTGTGTGCATATATAGTATAAAATTATCTTCCATCTGTGTATAAGGTGTATATGAAAAAAATTTTATATTTTAATCTGGACCCAATACCCAAGATATCTTATTACATCTATGTGAATATTCTAAAATTTAAAAATAACCCCAAATTTATAATACTTTTAGTCCCAAGCATTTTTTCTCTTTCCACATTATTTTATTGGTACATAATGGTTATACATAGTGATGGGATTTGTTTTTACATATTCATACATGCATACAATAGTACAATATTATTTGGCCAACCTCACACCCCAGTAGTTCTCCTCTCCCTCCCCCCTTCCCAACTCCTGGTCCTTTACTGATCTCCCTTTGATTTCATGATATCTCTGCTCCCTGACCTTTGTTTTCCCCTCTCTAGCTTCCACATATGAGAGAAAACATACGACCCTTGACCTTCTGAGTTTGGCTTATTTTGCAAATGACATAATTTCATTTTTCTTTATGGCTGAATAGAACTCAATTGTATGTAAATGCCACATTTTCTTTATTCATTCATCTGTTGATGGACATGTAGAATGGTCCATAATTTAGCTGTTGTGCTGTCAGAAACATGCATGTATCACTATAGTATGATAACTTTAATTCTTTAGAATAAATACTGAGGAGTGGTATAGACACATTATATGGTAGTTCCATGCCTAGTCTTTTGAGGATCCTGTTTATTTCCATATTTGTTGTACTGATTTACAATCCCAACAATAGTGTAAAAATGTCCAACATCATTAGTAATTATGGAAATATAAATCAAAATTATACTGAGATTTCATGTAACTCTAATTAGAATGGAAGCCATCGAGAATACAAACAATAATAAATGCTGGAAAGGATTTGAACATTTTTTTTCATATTTCTTTTTAGCTGTTTGTATTTCTTCTTTGAGCAGTGTCTGTTTAATTCACATGCCCATTTATTAATTGGAAAATTTGGGGGTTTGGTGTGTGTTTGTTTTTTAGTTCTTTTTATATTCTGGGTATAATCCTCTGTCAGAAGAGTAGTTAGCAAAGGTTTTCTTCCATTCTGTGAGTTTACTTTTCATATTCCTAATTGTTTTCTTTGCTGTGTGGAAGCTTTTTAATTTGATACCATCCCATTTATGAATTGTTGGCAATTTGTCCTGAACTTTAGAGGTCCCATTGAGAAAGTCATTGCCTGTGCCTATGTGTTGGAGTGTTGGGTCTACATTTTTTTCTAGGAATTGCATATTTTCTGATCTGTTTCCTAGGTCTTTGATCCATTTTGAGTTGATTTTTGTGAGAGACAAGGGTCTAGTGTCATTTTTCTACATATGGATAACCAGTTTTCCCAGCACCATTTGTTAAAAAGGCAGTCTTTTTCTCCAATGTATGTTTTTGGCACCTTTTTCAAGGATCAGATGACTATATCTTTGTGAGTTTGTGTTTCTATCTTCTGTACACTGGTCTATGTGTCTGTTTTTATGCTAATACCATACAGTTTTTAATACTATAGTTTTGTAGTATAATTTGAAGTCAGGTTTTTTGATGCTTCAAACATTTTCGAAGAGGATGGGTTTGGCTTAGAATTGCTTTGGCTATTCTGGGCTCTTATTCTTCCAAATGAATTTTAGGACTGTTTTTTGTAGTTCTTTGAAGAATATCATTGGTATTTTGAATTTGTATACTGCTAACATTTAATTAAGAATTTTCATATCTGATAGGTCAGTGATAGAACACATATGTGTATCCAAGGCCCTGAGTTCAATCCTAAGCATCTCTATATAAATCATCAATGTCCTTAATACATTGAAAAAATTAGTCAGTGGTCAAGTATCCCCAATTGTGGTCTCTATATTTGTTCAAGATCAGGTAAAGTTTATACATTGGTTTAAAGAAAAGAATTTTTGCATTTGAGTTCATCAGGATATTGGACTAGAGTTGTCCTTCCTTGCTGTGTTCTCTGGTTTTGGTGTTTGATACTGACTTCAAAAAATGAACTTGGATGTGTTCCATCCCTTTCTATATCATGGAATAGCTTGAGGAATGTTACATTAATTCTTCTTTAAGCGTCTGGTAAATTTAGTTGAGAATCCATCTGGTCCTGGGCTTTTCTTTATTGTAAGATTTTATTACTGCTTCTATGTCATCACAAATTATTGGTCTGTTTAGCTTTTGTATGTCTTCTTGATTGAATTTTGGTAGATCATATTTGTCTAGAAATGTATCTGTTTCTTCTATATTTTCCAATTTATTGGAGTTAAGTTTTCAGATTGGTCCCTACTGATCCACTGGATTTCTGTGATGCCTGTAGTGATTTCTCCTTTTATTTCTCTAAATTTATTAATTTGGGTCTTCTCTCTTTTTCTTTTGATTAGTTTGGCTAGGACTTATCAATCTTGTCTATCTTTACAAAGAACCATTTCATTG